AAAATATTGGCTCATGCACTCTACCCAGAAGCACAGAATTTCTCTAAGAGTGAAAGAAGGTCTGTTTTTATGACAGAAATGTATGTTGGTGCCAGTGAAGTCTGTTAATCTGATTTAAAACATGACTTAGTTAGGCCAAAAAAGGTTTTCTCTCAACTGTACTTGGCACAAAAGCTGACAAGAAATAAAAAGCTTGTTAATGAAGATATTTAAAAATATTCTTGCAATCTAAACAGCTTTTAAAAGGGCAGAATAATTATAACATTGTTTAGCAAATACCCATTTCTTTAATTGTATAAAATTGATGCATCTATTAATGGGAATTATTTTTACAAGGTAGTATTTTCTATAATCAACTAATCATTCAATTTTATGCCTCTAGTGTTTTCCTGCTGTTGTATATGTGCCAAGAAATACTGGCTGTGTTTCTCAAATATGTGTTGCTGTGATAGCTATATATAATTTCACAATTCTTTGTCATGCTGAGTTCAGAAAAGCCATAGCTTTTTGCCTTTCCTAAACTGGCATTAGGAAGGGTCTTTGAGGGATTGGTACCTATGCCAGTCTCGAGTAGGTATTGTCTGATACCTTGTCTGATAAAGTAGACAGTGCTGTGGCCCTCTGGCTTTTAGTAGGCCTTTAAAGAAGTTGAGCATGAAACATTTATGGAGAGAGGCCTGATGCTTTAAAACACATTCTGAAATTTAGAAAGTCAAGATTCCAACCATTCTGTTTGTTGGCACGTTTAGCTTTGAGTGAAGGGTTGCATGACAGTCTTTCAAAATCAACACTTTGACCAATGGTTTTGCTGCCTTTTCTCCATCTTGGGACTGGATAACATTATCCAGTATAGTTATTATTATGTTCAATGACTTCTACCCTCTCTCCAGTCAAATCTCCTCCCCCCAAAAAAAACCCCAAAACGAAACAACAACAACTCAGAAGTTTTGGAAAACTAGCGTTTTTTCTTAGTGTCAGTAGCTTGCAATTTAAACAACCTTATATCACTCTTGTTGATACTTTAATACACATGCTATGTTGGTGCTAGTTTCCAGGTGAAAGATGTTTTACTAAAATTTGCTGTTCTTCTAATATTTATTTTGAATAACAGTTCAACTGGATGGTGGCGCATAGATTCTGCGGTGTGTTTGCAGTCTGCACATATTTCTAGAGGTATGATTAATGGCAGCAGGACAATAACTACTTAACCTAGACTAAGTTTCATTTTAGGAATTGCAAAAAGTCCATGTGGCTAGTTGTACCTTAAATCTAAAAAAATTGCATCTTGCTTTAAAGTTTTGATTTGAAAGTCGAGAAGTATTTGATCTGACTGCAGGTAACTTGAATCAGGTATGTCAGTTTGTGTTTTGTTTCCATGTTATTTCACTTGGATACTGCAGTTGTTGGAGCTGCAGTATTAGAAATGAAAAAGTATTGTTGCTTATATTCTATACCATTTACCAAATATGGAGATTCAATTTTTTGCTTGTTTTGCAGATGGTATTCTGTAGAATTTACTCACAATTGTTTAAACTTTTCCTTTCTTGGCTATTGAGCTTCTGCTCACTGATGCAGAAAAATGGAGCTTAGTCTTCACTCATGAATTGGCTGTGAAACATGCCCTGTAGAGAAGGAAGGTGGAAGAAAGCACTAAAGGGAGTTTTCATCCCAAGAGTGTTTATCAACAGTCAAGTCACTATGGAAAGGCATTGCAGAGATTCCTTTCTTTGGCCAAAGCAGATGAGAATATTGATTATAGGATTCCTTACTGTCTTCCACATGCTCACAAACAGAACTACCATTGCCTTTCCTGACTTTATCTGTATCTGAACATCATTGACATGTTGTTCTTGTGTCATCACAGCCATAAATTCTTCCTGCTCCAGCTAAAAGGATCCTATCAGAGCCTGCTCTTGATGTAAATCAGCAAACTTGACAATACAGTGACTGAGAAGAGCTGTTGGATATTCAGCTGCTTAAGATAGTTTAACATCTCAACTTGGTAGCATGAATTGCTTCTGGTGATTGATGTGAGGCAACAAAAAAACTTTCCCCAAAATTCCTGTAGGAGGGATTCAGGTACTTTCTATGCTCTTTTCCAGACCTCTTTTTTTTGTTCTTTTAAATCTTCAGAAGAGCAAAGGAGTATTCATTAACATTTCTTATCTCAAAATACAGGAAGATTTTGTTTCAACCTGAAATACATACATGTATGTAAGAATCAATCAGGCTACTGGTTTTGATAGCTAGAACACAGAAGTTACCAGCCTTGTTTATTCTTTACAGTTCAAGACAAGTCTGTTCAAAGGAAAAATTACATACAAAAGGATAAAAATTAAAATATTCTCCTTTTCTTGGAGAGATACCATGATCTTGATGTAAGAAGAGGAATTTAAAAACAAGTCATTCCTAACAGCATGCTTCAGATTGATCTTCCAGAAACTGTTAATCTGTTTCTGTAAGGAAAACACCAATAGATGAAGTCCTCATAATGCCTTTTTTTTTTCCTTAAATTTCACATTGGATCTTTGTCTCTGCTGCTTATGAAGAGACATGACTCAAATAAGACCAAGTACTCCTCTCTTCTACGCTCCTGATCTCATACAGTTTAGTATATTGAAGGCTATCTGGGGTCTTTTCCCAATGAGCAGCATCTTCTGCTGTGAAGGAGGTTTTCTCACAGAGGCCTTGGGCAGATTCCTGTTTGCAAGAAACCATGCTGCTTCATCTGAACTGATTTGCTCTGATACCTTCTGTTGCTTTGAACTGGAAAGGAGTATTGACTTCAGAAGTATTAGTAAGCTTCAATGCATCATCAGAAATTGAGCCTGTAGTGCTGTGTATGGCATTGTAATTATGACTTGTAAGTAATTAGTATTAGCAACTTGCAATACCTTGAATCTCAGGGACTTTTCAAGTTATCTGATTAAAAAGAACATTCTATTCACAAGAGTCTTGTAGAAGAAATGTGCTTTTACTACTATTGTCCCTTCATGACATTTTTCTTAGCCAGCAAGCACAGAGCAGTAAAAACTTGGATTCAACATAGTCTGTTTATTGTATTTTCTCTTTCATTTTTATCTTGTGTCCTCTCCTTTACTGGAAGAAGGGAGTACAAACATCAACCTGGAGACATCTCTTGGCCAAGTACATTTATGTGTTTGTTCATCAGTTATTCTTTCCAAACAAGAAGACCTCCTTTTACAAAAACATGCATATGGGATGAAAAGACTGAACCTGACTCTCTAATCTTTGAAAGATGGTCTGAAATAATCAAAAAAGCAATGGCTTGTCAAATGGAAAGGTATAGGAACACATCTTGGTCTCATGTTGTTGAGAAGTCATGAAATTCCACTCAGAAACAACTAATCCTATTATTTGTGTGAAACACTCTATTTAGAATAAAACCTCTTACCGTAGATTGAGATACCATCACCATATTCAGTGTCCTTGGAGGAACCAAGAAGCAGAGTATCCTTCTGCATGCACAAGCAGTTTCTCTGGAAGCAGTTTGCTGATTTTTCTGTTTTAATTACTGTAGCTTATCAGGGTCTGTCCTTGATGGCTTTATCTGTCACTTTAAAAGAAAAAAAGAAATCCTGTATGCTCCTCAAACTGCAAAAATTGCTGTGGTTTTAATGACAAAACCTAGCATTTCTTTCCCCATCTTCTTGTATTATTTTAAGCACAATGAAAGAAAGCTTCTTTGAACAGGGGAAACTTGTAATTGAAGAACATGTGAGGTACCTAACCATATGAAGCTATTTTGTTTAGGTGTGCGCTCTAAAGGAGAGGATCAAGAAACACCACTAATTGCCCCAAAATAATTAAGTGAAATTGCATCAAACATAATGAGTAATGTACCTTCTTGGTTAACTATTGGATCATACTCTACCTGGTGTCTTAAGAGCAAAGAAGAGCACTCTAGGTAAAATGATGGTACCTCATCTGAGGCACACAGCTCAGTGGCTGCCCTACATGCAAATGCCGTACACTGTGCTGTTGTGCAGAAGGTACTGTAATGGATAACAACCAGTAAATGCATATGTGAGCAGCTGTACATATAACTGTTTTCAGTCCAGTGACTTCTGGTTCTATTTTGTTGTATATTGGCTCCATGATACTGATAAAATTTCACAGGAGACTTAGCAGCTTTCAGTATTTGTGAAGAAAATTTCAGCTCTCTTATGCATTATATTTTTGTTGTTCAAGTAATGACAGTTAAGTCCTGGGACATCTAGGTTTTCAGGGAAAAAGAGGAATATTTTAGAAATCCAGAAACCTGATGCAGGACCTTGGGTAGGTTCTTAGCTTCCACAGCAGTCATCATGTGCCTGGGTTAAATATGAGTTTGTCTTAACAGCATTAAACTGCTGTCAGTGTTAGATCAATCTGATTTTGCAAATAAAGTAGAAGACTTGAGATTGGAGTAAGGCCTTTACAGAAGAGTTGGGAGTGGTGTTAGGAAGTCTTTGGTGAGGGAAACATTCAGGTAAGTATGATGATTTTTTTCTTGAAGAGATTATGGGGAGACGTTCACTGCTTTGCAATAGATGCCATTTTTAATTCATTGAGAGCAAGTGAACAGAGGAGAGATTTGGATTTTTTTCCAAGAAATGAGCACTTAAAATTTTTTTTCACCCCCACCTACATCTACTTGCAACAAACTGAGAGAACTTTCTGGACAAAACATCTTATGATTGATCTCATCTATTGGTAGATGTCTTAAAAGTCTTGAAAGTTCACAGCTCAACACTATGGGTTTGGGGTTTTTTTGGCATCAGAGCATGAAAACACTGCATGTCTAGTACCCATCTCTTGTCATCCTCCCCTATTGCAGTGACTATGTGTATGTCTCTGTGTGGCAGAAAATGAGGAAATGCAGGTCATTATCCAAGAAGTTACCAACTAGCACTTTTCCTTCCCCTCCAGTCCTTCTGCCTCCCTATCCTGGAAGTATGGAGTCCCTGCCTCAGCCTACGGCTTCATTCTTTTTCCAGCTGCCCACAAAAGTAAAGAACCAGTGTGAGAGTTTGAAGAAAGAATCCGCTCAGAGGACTGAGTCTCAAGCAAAATCTCCAGGTTGCAGACTCAGAAAGAAACTTCCTTTGGGGAAGGATCTGCTTCCAGGATTTGCTCGTCTCTTTTTCCTTGGGCAAACAGAGTTCTTGAAGCAAACAACAGGGTTGCAGGTAGGTAGGGCCCCTTTGAACTGCCATCCGCTCAGGTGTGAAGGATGGACTTTATGGTGTTTCTCTGTGCATTTTTTTGTTGATGTTGCCTTCCACTTCTCTAGGCTGAGAGAGGGAAAGAATGTGAGCAGCTTAAAGAAAAAGTGTGGGGGAGAGAGAGAGGAGAAAAAATACTCTGAGCACTTGGAAAGAATGTTCTTTATGCCTCTGTATAAGCTTCCTGTCCATGGGTCATATTTGTACTTCAGTTCTGTGAAGCACTAATGACATTCTTGGTGTGACCCTTCTCTAGACAGGAAACTACATCAAGTAGAAACTGGTGACTGGGGCCAAGATAAGGCCAGTGACTGTGTATGGCCCCATAGCCATGCAATTTTCTTCTCCTCCCTGTCTCTTTACACTAGTGCTAGGTTTGAATGTGCTGTAAGGTGGAAGCTGCCCAATCAGTTTGAAATCTGACTGAATTCCCAGCACTGAAGAAGTTCTCCAGTTCTAAATGTGTAAATACATTCTTCCTTTTGAGGAGCCTGTGGCTGCTGGGTTTGTAAAATCCTGTTCCTTTGTCCATGGGAAGGAAAGAGACTGGAATACCCTGATTTAAGGGGATATGCTGCTAACCCACATGATCAGCAATCCCTCAGGCCCAAAGAAAGGGAATCAACTCAGGTAAATTCTGCTTTTCTCGCTTCATGCTGTGCCGAGTGACAGCCTCTTCCTTGCAAACATCAGTAGCCCACAGTCAGACCTTTTTTTTTCCAGCTATGTTGTTGCTGGCACAGGAAGTTTATTCTAAATTCCCTTTTGATTTTTAGCAAAAGGAATCACTTGAAAACTGGCAATGAAATTCGAAGGAGATTTTACCAGTTCCTCTTTGGTGCTGAGTTGAAGTCATTTGGAACTATGTTACGTGCATTATTACTTTGATACATCTCGTGACTCTTCTCTCCCTCTTCATTCCCTCCAAATTGCTTCAGGACACCTTCTAACCTTTATACTGCATCACAAGCCTTCAGCAGAAGATCTTGACAGCCATTTATGTTGCTGGAAGATGACTGGGTTTGGATCTTGGCCTTCCTTAAGCAGGATCTCCTGACAAAAATGGGAAATGACTCCTTTTTCCATCACACAGAGCCACCCCAGAAATGGAGGCCTAGGCAGAAAGTTACTTCTAATGCATTGTTCTTTAGGAAACGTTTTGCCTCCCACGTTCCTTTTGTTACAGTGTCATATAGATGACTTTTATAAAACCTAAACATGGCATCTTCCTATCTGAAGATAAGTCAGTAAATCCAAGATTAAGAGTTTACAGGTCTAATAATGTGATCGGATCTTGCTGTCCCTTCCATAGGAGATGCCACGTGAATCTGTGAAACAGGGTTCTGCTGTGGTTAAGACTGTTATATTTGTAAAGCTTTTTCTACTTACATTAAAATGATTAGAAATAATATTAATAAAGCTTCTTTTGAAAATGCTGTTTAATTAGGCTTCTACCTCTCCAGGTCTACTTAAAAATAAATTTAAGCCAAAGTGTCACAATGGGCAAAATGGGAAGTAGTGCATCTTTTGAGGTTTCCTGTGGTTTTATGTTGCAAAAAGGTATGTTGGAAGTGTTGAGAGCTATGAAAGTGGAAAAAACTTAACTTTTGCTTTAAGAGTGAGAAGTTATTTGTTAGAAAGCAGAAAGCTTTCAGTTGTTTTCTCCCTAAGGTATTCTGTAGCTGAACTTAATTAAATATCTTGGGAGATCTCAAATAAAAACCTTATGTTTGGCAGTAGTGAACAACACATGCACATGCCCATGTACTTTTGTTGTTCTCACTATAGGAAATTAGTTTTGAAGACTAGGACTGACTTTTAATGTTTAGATTAGGAAAGGGGAAAGTTTTATTCTTGAGCTGAGTGTGAGAATGGGTGGCAGGAGTGTGAACTAGACCCTCTGGCAGTAGGTAAAGAGCACTTTTATTTTTCTGTTTTCTGCTTCTGGCAATTGGAGTAAACTAGTCAGATGCTTGTGCTTGAATCCAATTAATTTCTTAAATCAGTTACCACAAAACATTACTTTCTAACTAATGCCTAGATCTTTTGTTTTATTCACTAGCTTATTTAAATTGTTGAATAGTCTTAATATAGCCTTGAGGCTACTGCTTCATGGCAGTTGTGACTTCTTACTATGCTGGAATGCATTGCAGTCCTAGTACATTCTAAAAATAATTGTTCAGATGGTGCTGTTTAAGTACATACTTATGTAGTGAGCCATTTTCACTGAACTTTCTGAAATTTAGCTTTCTGTTGGATGGCTTTTTAATATTTTTTTTTATTGTGAATATCAAACTTCTTTGTCTTGCTTCTTCTGTGGTTATCAAGTAAAGTGCTGAATTTATAACATGGTATTTTTAGAAACTGATAGTCTGATGCATGTGTTTAACTATGCAACCACAGTAACACTTGTGAACTTAGAAGTTTAAAAAGAAATCAGTTTAATGTATCGAATTCAATTCTATTTTCTTATAATATGTGGAAATGTGTATGTGATGAAATTAAAATTGAGTAGTTGTTATAGGTACAGACATGAATTGTGTGCTGAACAGGAGTAATCTAGAAGTCAAAAGCTGAACATCTGTGAGTCTCAGAAATGAATACTAACATCTGTGGCTAGAGATCTGTGCCAGCAGTGCTTTTAGTTGAAAATACCTGTTTTTCTAACTTCTAGTCCAATTAAGGTCTGATATCTTTTATGCTTAATAGGTGTACTTGCCTCAGCCACAGTTTTTGGTCATTTTGTTCTGTAGCAGAAGGTAAATTGAGGACCATCAAATACTTACGAATGCTGAATACCTACAGTAAAGTAAAACAGGGGCACTGAGAACTGTTTCTCATGTTACTGTCTCAGTTGCTAAAATGACTTTACTCTTTCCCATCACAATTAGGGGGAAAAAACCCAACAAACACGCCAAAACAAAAGCAAAAACCAAACAAAAAAGCCTCTTGCTATTCTACAGTTAGTATTTTGATATTTCCTGTCTATCACCTTGTGTTAATGTGTTACTGTCATGCTCTGAGTTTTACAGCTGGAATCCTGGGTTCTTGATACATCTTTAGAGCAATAACTCCTGCCTTTGTGTTATTAAATAATAAAGATGTCTAAAACAATTTTCTTCTTGTTTATATTGTACTTAACATAATTGTATGAGTATTAAGTGACTCTTTGGATAAACTCCAGAATGCCAGCAAACATGGAAAAACACTGTACAGTTTTAGAGGTTTTTAATCACCAGTACTAACAGAATTTCACAAAATAATTTTGTAGTGTTCCTGTTTTTCCTCTTTCTTTTCTCTTTAAGATTTCCTTCAGCATTTGAGCTACCTAACTCACTTCATGTGATCCTTAATATCTTCTTGACCAGATGCCAGCTCCTCCTCAGATTCAGTCAATAAAATCCTGTTTTTTGACAGCTCTTTTTTTCCTATCCTAGAAGACCTATCTTGTTTAACCTGAAAGTTTTGCTTTCCTCTTTTCACCTTCTGTCCACCCTCTGTGGCTTATGCTGCAGCTCTTTCTCTGTTACAGGATGCTGTGAGAGTGAGGAAGTATTTTGTAAAGATCAGGAAATTTGGGGGGAAGTCTCACCGATGTTGCTACTTCAGCCGGAGCTGAACTTGTCATTTGTGTGAGAGATGCTTTGTAAGTTTAGTTTCAGGAAGGGACATGTATCAAAAGGTATTCCTTTTGTAAACCAGCAAATTATGTTGATTTTTATAAACAAAAAAAGTGAGACTAAGGAGTGTAGGTTCTAGGTGTTGCTGTCCCCTTGCTTTATAGGAAGGGAGGTGGTAACAAAATATCAACAATTTTCTAGGAGTTTCTGAAAGCCAGGCTGGTTTCATTAGCAGTGGTGTGCTCTAAGTTGGATTTTATTCTTTCAGTCCTGTTTGTAGGACACTGGGATTTGAGCAGGTAGCAGTGACAAAAATATTTTTTCTGATCTTATTTTTAATTGAGGAAAGGAGATTCATACCTTGGTTTACCAGACCTGAGAGAATCCCTGATCCTTGAAAGAATGACCGTGATTTAGGGGTCAGTTCAGAAAAAGTGTTTCTGATAGAAAGCTGGAAAAAGGCATTTTCTGAAAGCAGTGGTAAGAAATGATTGAACCCTTCCAGTTTTGTTTGTTGCATGGACTTTATGAAGAATTGGCGGCTGCACGGCTCCTAAGACAGGTCTGTAAGTTGATGTCAGCAACATGAGGTGAGTTCATGGGTTGTTGCAGGAATTGTTGGGTTTTGTCAATCAAGCTGGGTTGTCTAAATGTCATGGAAGGCATGATGAATTAACTATTCAAAAAATAGTTTTGAAGACCATACTAAGTTTGTGATTCTTTTGCTGATGACAGTGACACTACCTGATCACTTGTAAATTTTTTCAAAAGAATATAAATGTACTGTTCTCCTGAACTGTGCTGTATCATGTTGTTTCGTGTCCTTGATCTGCACTCAGATGAGGGGCTTTCCTTTGCTCTCTCCCTGGTAGAAACTGGAGTTTCTTGCTTTTTCTGTGTACTGGTGAAATGGAGGTCAGGAATATGCGTGGGTTTTAGGCTACTGTTACAGAACAGTAAGTGAAGAAATCATACCTTGCACAAATGGTATCACTTTTACAGGGGCAAAATAACGTTTTTTATCCTGATGGAGGATTGTAGCAGATTGCACAAACAGTTAGAGGGGCATGTGGCTTGGGGTGATTTTCTTATCAGTAACTACTTCAACAATTTCAACAGTATCTGACCTCCTCTTACCAAATTCTGTAATTCTGAAGTAAATGACTTTTGAATAAATAACAAAACTTTTATGGTTATAATTGGACTTAATGTGATCATAATTGACTTTCAAAAATAGAAATGTGGTTTATACATATTTCCCCAAAATTTAGCTTTGTCCTGACTTGAATTGAGGTTTATTCACCAAATGGAATTACTTTAGAGCCCATATTAAAGCACACTTGTCTGTTTGAGTGTTTCAGAGGAATTTTTACATACCTGCTGCTGGCATGCATTTGTAACTTTTCAGAATAGTAAAATTTGGTATATTTTTAAAAAAAATGTTTTCCTGGTCTCTGGAAGTACTTTCTGTTAGATGAGAAAGCATGAAAAATTAATTTGCAAAGTCTTTGTGTGTATAAGCGATGGAGAGATGAAATCAGACTGAAGTATGTAACAGTAAATGAAGAACAGCTGACATCAGCACAACTCCTGTGTACACATGGAATGTTTCTCGGTGACTTCACGATTACAGTGAAATTGAGGCTTAGATAGATACTGGAGTAGTGCTGGAATTGGACTAGTAAGCAGCCAGCTAATGTAGGTACTCTCCCTTATCAAGCAGTAGACTTGACAGAAAGCCATCTGAAGCAGCTAAGCCTTTTCCCCCCGCTCTAAGCAATGATGGTAGTAAAGTCTGGACTCACAGATTTATAGCTTGTGGTTAGGTTCTCTGGTGTATAATAAAGTACTTTTATTATGCCTTGGGCACTGGTTGTGTTTATCACCTGATGGTGTCTAAAACCTGAATTAATGCTACAGCTTTTTTTAAGGGAAAAGTAGGGACAAGTTAGAAGGGCTCCTGGACTTGTCCGTTTATTTGTATGTAACTTTTTAAGAGCGTGTATATCTTTGGCAACTGGTTGAAATTAGAAACAGGTTAAAAAAATTGATTGGAGTAGGGACATTCAAAGAAAGAACGAAGTTACATTAGTTTCTTTCCTAATAAAGAGTACATGTAAAAAAGAGAACATGCTACAATGAACTTTTTACTTTTCTTGTGTTAATCACTGATCAGTTTTACCTTTATAGTATCCTAGAATACAATTAATATTTTTCATAAATTGCTTAATTGATGTCTGAACTTTGTAAAGCCATATTTACAAAGCACACAAAGTAATTATTTGATTTTTTTTTTTGAACAATGGTGCTTTGTTCTGTTATGTATTATGCTGAGGGTGTTCCAAGAAGTGATTTCTGTGTTATTTTTGTTCCCTTTATACTTGTACAGGTGATATCTTCTAGGAATCCGTTCCCTTGTATTAGTGTTAAATATTATCAAACTTTTTTAGCTATTCTTCCCTATACTTGCATCTGCTTTGGAGAGTTTTCCCATCTATCCCTTTTGAACAAGTACACTAGTCAGGTCTATCTGATACTTCCTTTTTAACTAGCTCAGAACTGGTGTTTTTAATAAAGCAACTTTGCAAATGAGAATGGCAAACAGTAATGCTACATTGGTTCAGACAATAAATGTTTAAGAAAAATCAAGGAAACTTTCGTCCCCATGTCAGCCCCGTCATTGTTCTCCAAAGATACATGTTACTTGGAAGACTTGATGATATCTCCATGGCTTGCAGTCAAACCAGTGCTTCCAGTGTGGCAGTACTTCAGCTACAGGGCATTTTGCTTATCTGTCCAGGTAATGTTAACACCTAAATTCCTTCTGTAGTTGAACTCAAGTTATTGTTTCAGATTAATCTTCTGCCTCCTTCAAAGACTTTTTAAAAACTGTAATCTTGGTAACAATGCAATAATGATGCAAAAGGCTGGCTATGCTCCTTGCCCATTCCTTACGAGTTTGCAAGTTCAACATTTTTCTACAGGCTTTAACGCTATGTATGAATGGATTTATCCGAGATAAATGTCAGATCTTCACTTCCTGTTACACTTAAGCAGTGAATGGTTTGTATTGCCACATTTTGTCACCCTGGATTACCATCTGGTTTGTGTCCCTCTTCAAGCACCTACTGTTTCAAAATCTGGCTTGCTTTATGAGTCAATGTACTTTCTAAAGAAACTCTCCTTTCTGCCTTTCTGTAGATACCAAATTATACACAAGATGTTATGACTTGACTAGCTGTTCACATTTGGCTCTTGGCACAGAATGCAGACTTATAGATTGGAGATATTTGAGAACCACATTGTGTAAGCCCTTCGTAAAGTAAATAGCCCTGTCGGACATGGGCATGTGATACTCAGTTATTCTCAGGTCATTCCTTCTTAGAGCTTTGTTTTTATGTGGATTTCACTGGAGTAAATCATGTAGTGACTGGCTTGCTGCAGGGCAGATGTTCTTGTTGTTTGCAGGAACTTTTTTTTTTCTACACCAACAAAAAAAAAATACAATAAAACTGCCAGAGTTCCATATTTGTTTCCCCCTTCTTCACTCCTGTATTTTCTCATTAGCTTCTGGTACAATTAAGAGACTTTATTTACTTAGCAAACTCCCTCCACCATTTGGAGAATCCTTGCAGGTTAGATAAACCTGGAAAATTCACTGCTTTCAGTATGATCCATAACCTAATTTACAAAGTACACTAATCTCAATACTTAATAAAGCCTTGACCTATATCAAATATAGGAATTTGTCTTTTAACCTAAAATTACAGCAACTGAAATGTGCTATGAATGCTGGTTTAACCTTCCTCCTCAAACCTAAACATCAGTTTAGTCTGTATAAAATTCAGGATGTAATTATTTTCTCCCTTTTCTCTCTGTGCCAAGAAGGAGACTTGGCTTATTAAATGAGACCCATGGATGATGTTTCAGTACAAACATAATTAATTTGGTTTATAAGGCAAGGGTTTTTATCTTCACCCCAAATGAACCTGAATTCCCTCATTTGCACCTAAAGTTAAAAATTTTTCCCTCAAAATTCTGACTTAAGCATAGGCTGTCATACAAAGATTTTGTTATGACAAAAGTCCCACTAATGTAGAGTTTTGGGACTAAAATACAGTATAATATGTGATACAACATTTCTTTTTAACATGGCACAAAAATAATTATCTTCAGAGACTGGGGACTGTACCGTGTTGGCTTTTTTTTCCTCACAGCTTGAGGTGTTTTAGAAAGGAATAATTTGTACTTGTGAAGACCACCTATTTTTAATAAGCCCTCTTCCCCTGTTGCTTTGTTCCTGTCTTATTTAGTGCACTGAGCTTATTTTTTTGACTGGGTTTTTAGTAGTGTCCTCCTTCTCTAAAGGCAGTAGGAAGATTTGTGTGTGTGTGTTAAATATTTAATTGCTTATATGGTGTTTTTTTACTATGCCGTTAGGGACA